CAAACAAAAGAATGTGTTTCTTGACCTAACATTTTTTATCAAAGACACTGATGGGATCAATTTGGAGCTAACAAGACAATTACATGGTTCTTCTGTACACGTTGATATAAGTGTTCTCAAAGAAAGATCCCTCATTTCAGAAGATGAATATGGTTATTTTGTGATGCACGATCTTGTGGGAAAAATGGGCCTTGAAATTGCTAGACAACAGTTATTCTTTGGTCTTGAAAACCCTGTTCGTCTATGGTGGCATGAAGACATTCAAAAAATTTTCATCTATAATAAGGTAACAATTTAATTTGTTTATTATTTTATATTATTTTCTTTATCTTCTTAATAATATTTCAATCATATTTATTGTCGAAATTTTTTTTAATTTGTTTATTATTTTATTCATATTCTTAATATTAATTTCTAATGATAAAATTCAAAATTAGCTTATACTCCTTCTGTTTTGTTCTTAAGATTTTACTCTTATTTGAGTTGGATTACTCTTATAATTACGAAAACCTTTCTCGATTTAAATGACTAATAATTCTGCATTAGGGTGTAACTTATTCGCCTGCTTAAACTTTAAATTAAAATTAGGATTATAATGTGATGTGTAAAATATAGCATTAGTCGTCCTTATTAAAGATTCTTTTATTAAGTTTTAAATTATCTACAAGATTGATATTTCTACTCTTGGAAATCGACGCAGTGTAAAGGTGTTTGTACACAACGCATACATCTCAACATTATAAGAAGTACAAATTATATGAAAGTTGAAAACAAAGAAAATTATTAAGAATTTATATGCATGTGTCAAGTGACTTTAAAAATGAATATTTGTTTTTATAGGTTATATTAAATATTTGTGCATTCATGTGGATATGCATGCATAAGCACGAGTGTGCATGAGTGTGTCTGCTTATTTATGTCTTTTGAGAAATTCTGTTATACATTACCAAGAAAACAAGAATAAACAAATTGCTTCAATAACCACGTGGGTCATTTTTAGTCATTGTTTCTTATTAATAATTGTTCTTCATTCCCTTGATTTATTTACTAGGGAATTGAGGCCATCCGGTGCATATCTTTGGACACGAGCAAGATAAAAAGGATTACATTGACAGCTAGTAACTTTAGAAAGATGTATAATTTAATATTGCTTAAAGTTTACAAGTCTGATCCGAGAAAGCTTTCAAAGTTGAATATTTGTGAAGATCTAGATTATCTTCCAGAAGAACTTAGGTTTTTTTGTTGGGAAGAATATCCTCTGCCGTATGTGCCATTAAACCTTTGTGCGGATAATCTTGTTCAACTTAAAATGCCTAATAGTTATATCCGACAACTTTGGAATGGAGATCAGGTATGCATTTTTGTTAACGTCTAAAATATTTTTTTATTTTTGTGATTCAAAGAAACTCTTTAATGTAGATATCTCTCATGCATTGACCAAATAATTCATGATGTGCAATTGCTTCAGTATCTTCACATAAATTAATGGTTAGATTGTAGTTATATAAGCGAAACTCGATGAAAAGCATGTACTTTTGTCACCAATAATCAATTCAAGCTTTATGGAGTATTTTTTCCTTGTCTAATAAAATTATGTCATGTTTCACTAGTTTAATCAAATAAAATTTTATATGTCATTATCTTTAAAGATTCTTTTGGAAATAAAATGCCTATTTAATTTTCAATTTTTCTCTCTTCATCATCACTAATGACAGAATCAACTTATATTTGGAACCATCTAATATGACATGTTTTTATTGGAGAGTATGAATGATATGATGCGATGGGTCCATGCAAGAATTTCTTTTTTTGCCTTAAATCCAATTCATCATCTGAATCTGTTGATTTAGTTCCTTTTACAATCCCTCATTTTTAATTGTCACGAGAGGAATTGTTCAACATGATTAATTATTTAGTTATCTACTTCATTTTACACTTTTTTTGCAGCATTTTCCAAATCTGAAGTTGATCAATTTACGAGGCTCGAAATCTCTTACTTCACTCCCTGATCTCTCTTGTGCCCCAAAGGTTGAATACATATATCTCGTTGGCTGTGTAAAGTTGGCTCAAATTCATTCCTCAACTGTCATGGGCGAGCTTTGTCGTTTAAATCTAGAAGATAGTGGGCGAAAGCAGATAAACATTGGTGGCACTATTGAAGATCATCAGAGAAGCAGTCCAGCTTTAGTGATAGATTACAATTATTTGGATACAATCGATTTGTCATTCAATAAAGTGACGATGAAGCTCTTCCTTTCTGACGATGGCAACATTATCTCTGGTGTTGGACTGAAACATGTGGCAATGCTATTGGAAAATAATAGCAAGAGTGCAGATCAGTTAAAATTGAGGACACAAAGTTTGACATCTTTACTTCCATTTGTTAGTACTGTTAAATGGTTTAGGGTTTTCAAGCAACATGAAAACTATGACGATCGTTTTTATAATTGTCACAATGATCCTTCAGGCAATGATATTTCTATAAATGTTGGGGTGAGGATCAGTGATGAAGCAGAAAGCATTGTGGTGGGTTCATTACCATTGAGAAGATCAGAAGAGGGCACGGCATTGGAACTTGACGAAGAAGAAGATGGTGAAGATGAGTTAATGGAAGAAGAAGAATGTGAGACTAATATGCGATTAACAAGACTTCCCAATCACATCACTCGCTGGTCACTGTTGACACAAGTGAGATTAAACGAGAGTGATGTTATTGGAAATGCAGGTTGCAGCATTCCTCAGGTTTCAATTTTGAAATTACTTGCACTCTCTCATCATTGCAAAAGAATTCAACCTCTCTTGGATCTAACACTCTCTTTTGACGTTATAGCACCTGATTATCGTCGTCCTTATTCTTTTTGGCTCCCTTATTCAATGCCCTCCACTGAAGTTCGGTATCTTAAATCGTTCCGCTGTTATTTTGAGTATACGGTTGATCATATTGTTTTTGAGTACACTGAGTGGTAGGCATTTCATCATCACATTTATGTTTAAATTAGTAAGTCGTTTCTTTTTGTTGCACGTTAACAGGGTCAAATATATCAAGTTTATTGTTTAATATGTAATTCACTGAGGCCTTCCTCACACCCGTGTAAAAATATAATTGTTAATGCTGCCATTTTTCCCCCCAACTCTAATGCATGTTGCTTCCCAATAACAGCTCTATTGCGCATTTGAAAGGACTAGAGAATTAAAATGAGTTGTATATAGTTTATAGCAATATATGTACCTTTTTTTTAAAAACTAGTATTTTTGGAAGATGCTGCTTCGTCTAATATTTCTTTTTTTTATTATTATTAATGTCACTTTTAGGTAAATATACTATCAGCCAACTCATCATTGAGTTCATCTTTTCTTTTTCTTTCAATAGCAACTAGTTAGAACCAAGGCGATGAATCTCTGTGCTTCTTAGGTTTTTCTTTGGTGCAGCTGGCAGTTCATCTGCTTTTGCTTTCTTCGATCTCTTCCATTGCTTCATGCTCTTCCCTGGTCTCTTATATGTTTTCCTTCGTTCTTAGTATCTTGCATGTTTTCTCTTGGTTTGTCTCTTGTTTTCTTTTACTCGCTGGTTTTTCTTTGCCAGTTCCTCTAATCTCAGATGATTTTACCTTTTTCTTGCCCTTCTCATGTTGCTTACTGCCGTCATCAGTTTTTGGTTTTTCGAGACTTAGATGATCGATCGTCCTTTGCATGTTTCTAAGTTTTCTTCTCTTCTTAAGATTCATTGGCATCTCAAGGGTTCTGTCTGCATTGTTCAGCATATGGGTCCATTTTTGTGGTGTTTTCGGATTTTCATTTTATGTCGAGTCGTGGTGTTTGGTTGTCTCAAAGGTTTTCTGTCTCTATTACCCATTGGCATGTGTCGTTCAATTTTTTTTCTGCTTCTTATTCTCCTCCTTTCGTGTTTGGATTCGAATTTTTGGTCTTACTTTATCTTATTATTCGTTTTCTATTGCTTCTTTTATTGGAAATAGATTAGATTCGTTTGTTTTCTATTTTCTTGAATTTTCGGCCAAAGAGGAAAACTGGGGTGGGAGCTGGATTTTGCTCAATTTGATTCTTCTAGTAAGTTTAGAATGAAATTTTGTGTGAGAAAATGTCAACAGAATGAGTTTAGAAGTTTTGGAATACAAATTGGAATTCGCCCTTTTAAAACATTGACTTTATGTGAAAGAGTAAGCTGTGGATAGGAATGGGTTATGCAAACAAACTTGGAAATGGATTCTACATGCAAATAAAAGCTTAAATGTTAGGATCTAATATTTTAATTTGTATGTAACCATGCTTCAAATAAGATTGCCTCCAATAGAAGCATACCTACAAACAATTAAAAAAAACAGCTAAAATTTTAGGGTTAAAAGAATAAAGTAGGGGAAGTGAAGGAGGAGTTTGCATTCATACGTGGTTTATGAATTGTTAAAGGCTAGAAATTATTTTTTTTCATACAAGGGAAAATAAGGCTGGAAATGATTTTTATAATGTTGTATAGGTGATTGTTTAGGCTTTGATGTTTGTCAAGGCCCCAAGGGAGTTCACATTCAAGGAGACTTTAAATAATATAAAAAAATAATATTAAATGTTAATTATTTCAATGGAATTTATAATACTACAATATATATGACATTTTTATATTTATTTTATGTTTTGACAATAATAATAAGTAAGTTTAATAAACAAAATAAACAGCCATAAATAAATTTATTAGTATGTATATAAGGAGGGGTCTTAAAAAAAAAACAGAGAGAATGCCATCATTTCTTATGAAGAGGCTAACATAAAAACATAATTAATATATATATATGCACGTATATATATGTATATATAGGGTTTGGATAGGATTGCCACCTAATTAAAAAAACATATCTGCAGGTTCTTATAGTTTAGTTCAACTTTTAATCAGGTTCCTATAGTTTTATTTGTTGAACTTGAACCCTCATATATACTTTCACAAGTTAAATCTGTTAGCTCCCAACCCATTAACACTGTTAACATTATGTGACATGGCTGATGATTGTGCAGCAACTAATCCACCTAAGAGATCTGACGTGGCTCCTACAGAATTAAAAAATTGGTTCCAGTCCTTGAGGCAAATCCATCGGGTTCGGGCAGACGGCAGCGGAAGGTCATGGCAGATGGCAACTCGATGCCCAGAGGCTTCAAAATCGTTGGTCAACAGAAATTAATTAATTAATATCCCTTCTAAATTATGTTGCTCAAAGAAGTAACGTTCTCATAGAAGCATAAAAAATGGACTCAGACTCATGAAATTAAACTCCTTAAAAAAGCAAATGAGAATGCTTTCTCGGTGAAGTTGTGATCTTTAAAAAAAAAAGATTCTGTAAGGCATGCAAAGGGAAATGGAAAGACTCAAGAAACAAAGAATGGAGAGAAGCAAATAAAAAAAAAATGATTCCTTGTGATCTTAAAGTCCTTGTGACCAGATTCATAAAAAAACACAAACTCAAGACAAAGGCAAAGACGCAAAGAACTCACAAGCAAGAATCCACTGGGGAAAAGTTGATCTATGTGGCAAAATTAATCCACCTGGATGATGATTAAGCAGACTGTTCTATTTCTATTAGCCAAATCAGCTTCTTCTTCTTTTCGGTGTTAATGGGCGAGGGGCTAATGGGCTTTACCTGTGAAGTATAAGGATCTGATTCCAATAAATAAAATTACAGAGATTTAATTAAAAATTAAAATAAATTATAAGGATATGTAGATGTGTTTTCCCTTAATATATATATATATATATATATATATAGGGTTCGGATAGGACTGCTACCAAATTAAAAAAACTTGTTCCTTAAAAACTCGTAACCCATCGATCTCCTCCAAGTCACCAAAATGCAAATAATATATTGTCATACTTTATCTTTTAAAAACATTATAGATTTTTATGATCAAAATATGAAATTAAATAATCTTGTTTCTAAATTACTTTCTTCCTTTAAAAATATAAAGTATTTTTTGAGGGTTAAATGTTAAAAAAATATAAAATATTTTTAATATTTTGAGGTATAATTATTGCCCCTCTTTTTTAAAAGTGTCCCTATTGAATAATTATTTTATATTTATTTTAAAGTAAAACACCTATTACATAAAGGTAAATATGAAAAGATAATGTTAGTTTGAAAGAAAGTAACTACTTTATTAAAGGTAAGATTTGATTAAAAATATCTTACATTTTAAATGGAGGAAGTATTAATTATCAATGAGGGAAGATATAAAATTTTTGGCCAATTTTAAATTTTATTTTGTTTAAAATATATTATATGCAAATTCAATAGATTTTCAGGGACAAGTAGTTGCCCTTATTCAGCAAACGTGGGTACGTGTACCTCCATTTTCTCTCTCATTCCGTTCACATTGTTTTTAAATTCCGCTTGTTGTTTCTATTAAAAAAAGTCCTCAAAGATTACTTTTAAGTAAAAACTAGAATTACATTTGTCCACTAGAAGAGGTCATAAATTTCAGATTTAAAGTGAAAATTTTAAATTTAAGTTTGAAATAACTGAATATTATTTTTAGATATTGTGGACAATAATTTTTAAAGAGATAAGATTATATCTCATGAATACCGAATCAGTTTTGTGAAAGAAATATCTCCGAAATTTTAGTTAATTAAGATAAGACGCCTGGACATATTATTCACAAAAAAAAAATTACATATATATACAAACAGATAAAGTAGAGTCTTAGCTTTCTGCGTCTCTGAAAAGCACAGAATCGATCTCACACAGGGTTTAAACTTTAAAGTGACCAGTTCTAATGCTGGGGACAGAGGCGATGAAAATTTGCTGTTGCTTCCCTTATACAGGTAAATATAAAATATATGTACATATTTTCTTATTCATTCAACTAATAATTAATTGAAATTCAATCGCTTCCAGGTATATTTTTCTGATGGAAACCATGTTTCACGTGGAAGAAAAGCACCACCTAGTCACTGCTTGTTCACAATCAATTCCTTCTCTTTGCTTTCTGAGCCATACACCTCAGAAAAATTCGAAGCCGGCGGATACGAATGGTATTTTCTTAGCCTTACAAATGGTATTTAGGGTTTTTATATGGGAAAATCACACTTAAGAACCTGCGAAAATCAAACTACAAAATGTTGAAATTGAATTTGGGACAATGATCCTTTTTGTGCACCCTCTGACATGCACATTTAGAGGTAGCCATTTACTTTTAGGGATATTTTAGTCATAAAAATGATTTGTAAATTGCAAAAAACGGATCCAGATACTTAAATTTAATTTGAAGATTTTAAGATCCACAAGGTTACTGTCAATATTCGCGTATTCTTATTTGTGATTTTCCCTTTTTACATTATATATATAGTGATATTGACATTTTGAATTTTTTTTCCCCTTTGATTTGGATTTCGATATTTTCATGTAGAAAATGATCATAAACATATTGTTATGGTAGGACTCTATCTGTTTACCCATCTGGGAACAAAAAAAGGGACGGAGATCATCACATATCAATATATCTGAACTTGATAGTTCAAAACTCAAATTTAATTCCCGTTGGTTGGGAGGTCAATGCCATTGCAAATTTGTTTGTATATGATTGCCTTCACGACGAGTATTTGTCAACTCAAGGTACTTTTAACTTGTTAGCTTTTTTTTTTTTTTAATTATGTTGTTTTGAAGGCTGGGCCAGAGAATTATGTTTAGGTTTCTCATAATACAATTAAATATCACAGGTTATTGACAAACCGAATATGTCAAATTACAATGACAATGAAAATATTCGATATTTTGCTATACTAAGCTGTCAATGAACATAGTGATATTTAAGGCTAAAATATACCAAACAAAATTAAACTTTGAAGCAGTTGCATAGAAAAAAGGCCTTACATTTAAAAGTTTAAAATTAACCTCCTTTACCTTTTATTTTCTTGCAAGAAACTCCCCAATTATTATTTTTTTAGTTATCTTATTACTAACAATTGTCATGTCATATTAATAAAAGACATGTACGTAGCAATTTATACGACATCCTATGTAAACTAACAATGACTTTATAAATTCTTAGGGAAAATGACAATTAAGGACCCCCTAAGATCATTAATTTCAATTAATGACCATAAAATATTGAAATCTCAATTAAGAATCATGGTCCTTACTTGAAATAAAAAAACATACATAACTTTACAAAATTGTCATCTACTGAACACTAAAATGTACATAATTCTATTGAAATCACTATTGTGAAATAAGAATATTGTCAATATCAATTTGAAAAACAATGAATCATGCTTGGGAATAAATTATTTTCTAATATAAAAGAAACTCACTTTTGAATGTGTTTTAAGGTCACTTATGAATATATAAAAGTAACTTGAGAAGTTGCTAATTTCACTTAGGAATATGAATCCAATAACTTGTCAAAATTCATGCTTGTTTATATATAGTTATTACTTGAAAATAAAGAGATGATATTGCCGAAATCACTATTATGATATGGGAATATTATTAATGTTAATTGGAAAACAAGGAACCACACACTTGAGAATAGATTATTTCTCAGTATGAAAAAAACTCACTTTTAAAACATTCTAAGATCATTTATGAATATACAAAAATTACTTAAAAATTTACTAACTTTGCTTGATGATTTTTTCCTAAGTAGCATTTAAGACAATTCACAATTTTTAAATTCCAAGTATGGTCCTTACTTGGAATAAAACAATATGATAATTTTATAAAATTGTCCTCTACTAAATAGTAAATGTACATAATACTGCTAAAATTACTATCATGATATGAGAAAATTGTTAATGTCAATTGAAAAAATAAGGATTCACACTTGGGAATAAATTGTTTCCCAATATAAAAAAAACTCACTTTTGCAATATTTCAAGGTCATTTATGAATATATAAATGTGATTTAAGAATTTACTAACTTCACTTAGGAATACAAACCCCATGGCTTATCAAATTTCATGCTTATTTATATATAGTTACCACTTAAAAAAATAAAGAGATGACATTGTTGAAATTACCATCATGTCATGAGAATATTGTTAATATTAAATGAGAAACAAGAAACCACACTTGGGAATAGATTGTTTCCCAATATGAAAGAAATTCATTTTTAAAATATTTCAAAGTCACTTATCAATATACAAAAGTAACTTGAGAATTTACTAACTTCATTGTGTGATTTTTTCCTGAGGGACATTTAAGACAATTCACATTTTTCAAAACTCTAAGTAAGGATCATAGCCCTTAATTGGAATTTCAATATTCTGTGGTCCTCAATTGAAATTAATGACCTCAGGGGGTCTTTTATTGTCATTTTCCTAAATTTTTATCCATATTTTTTCACATGATTCTTACTTAAATTGTGTTAAAAATAATTAAAAACATATTTTTCCATGTAAAATATCATGCGTATCTTATTAATTTGGTATGACAAACTCTGTCATGATAGTGGCTTTGAAAAAAAAAAAAAGTTACGGAAATTAACTTTAAACATTTTAATGTAAGGAGAGTTATGAGCCACTACAATACTACATCAAAATTTGTATATTTTAACCCATATTTAATTATGCATTTCACAGAATCTGAGTTCTGTTATTGTAGATGCGAGCATAAGGCGGTTCCATGAGCTTCAAACAGAATGGGGTATCCCAAAATTCATCGACCTTGTCTCATTCAATGAACCTTCAAATGGATATCTAATGGAGGATTCGTGCACATTCGGAGCAGAAATTTTTGTTGTCAAGCCCACTTATCAAGGATTAAATATATCATTGAGACAGGAACCTCCTTCTCTTTTCTATAGATGGAAATTCAATAACTTTTCAAATTCCAAATTTGAATCGTACGTGTCTGAAACTTTCATGGCTGGGGACTACAAATGGTACTTGATGCTTCTTCTTCTTAACTTCCTAGACTTTACTTATTGCTCGGATTTTCTCTATTCATAAGCTAAAATGAGTTTAGACGATATGCATTATATATTCAAAGAGAAACAGAGAGAAAAGAAGGAATAAATTAAATTATTTAATTAACATGATCATGCCTATACATATATTTGAAGATTAATATTAGAGAATTTAACTCTATATGAGGTTCGTATCTTTACATGCGAACAATACATATCTTTAAATGTTCTTCTAAGAATTATTAACAATGTGTCTTCCTTTTAATACATGATCTTTTTGAGATTGGCAATTATATATGGTATGTTAAATTTTTAACATAGAAATTCCCTTACCAGGAACCCCAAAGTCATTCTCTCAAATGATCAATAAAAAGATCTAATTCGATTTAAAATGATAAATAACAGGTTTTTTGGTTTTGTTGCAGGAAGCTCACTTTCTACCCTAATGGGTTTTCTGAGGCCAGGGGGAATAGTATCTCCTTATTTCTGACTATTGATGAATCGTCCATTCCAGAAAACACTAAATTATATGTGCATTGCATCTTGCGAGCCAGAGACCAAATCAATGAGCAGCATGTTGAAGAAGAATGTGAGATTGACTTTTTTAAAACTTTTGAACATTTTAATTAACCAAGTTATATATATATATATATATATATATATATTTCTAATTTACTTTGTAATGTGGGGTTTCTTTATCTAATATAATTAACAATGTTTCCCCTCCTTTAACAAATACCCAAACATAAGGTACTGTGCCGATTAATGCGGATTTGAGTTGGGTTGGACTCCAATTGAAATGATTTTTTTTTTCCATCCCCTAAATCTGAAATTTACTTCCACTCAATTTAACCGTGTTTTTAATTAGTAATTTAGCGTATGTGCGTGCGTTTCAAATTCAAATGGTGTTCAGTGATTGTTTTCCCATTTTGCAGTCTATAGGCACTTCTCAAAGTCGAATCGATTATGGGGCTCAAGATTGTTCGTGCCACTGGCCAAATTGACGGATCCAACTAAGGGTTTCTTGCAAAGGGATAGTTGTATTTTTGAGGCTGAGTTTAAAATTCTGGGCATAGTTGAAAAGAGTATTTGATGATATATGCTTTAGTTATGGTACAATTCACTGTGTTCTTTTGAAAGAATTTAAGGTATGGACCAGATCTTTTCATTGGGTGCATTATATAGTTGAAGTTTGTCCTTCCGTTAAATTTCATATCAAAATTTATAGATTTTTCACTTCTCAATTATTAGTATGTTTTCCACTTTTTTCGTTTGAATTTTTCATTGTCTACATTTAATCATTTTTACTGTCGTAAAATATATATATATATATAGTATCAGGATAATTTCCAAACTAGTTATGAATTTAGTATATAGAGAAACTATAAATTTGAAAATTTCAAGCATTCAATTCAGAACTTTCAAATTAATCTACCAAATTAGGAGTTGACTTCTCTTCATCATTGCAAAAATGGAGAGAATGTTGGAGATCTAAACCATTAAATGGAATTAATTATTTATACTAGATAGTTTTTGAAGTCTAAATTAATTTGTACTGTTAAAATTTGATCTGAACAGTTTATATAAATTAAACCAAGTCGCAAAACTATAAGGCATTACGCACGTTGTATTGATTCAACCACACCGTATATTACTCAAGATGTTGAAAAAAGAACTGGCTCAAAATGGTTGACTCAAGATTTTTTTTTTTTTAGCGTCAAAATGTATATGAAATATTGTGTGAGAAGCAAATATAGACATATTCTCATTGCATTCTTATTATCATTCTTGAACAATCGAAGCATTCATACAAATTAATTGATGAAATCAGAGAATTACAACTACATAAACATGACAGACACAACATTATTAATTAAAAAACTGAATCAGCTGCAATACTGGTGATGTTGATTATTAGTTAGTTACAACAAGGCCAATTGTTGAATGTTTATGGGATAAGTGTAAGATGATCGAGAAGAGTAACAAATCTTAGCTAGTAAAATATTGGCAACCTCAGTAGGATGAAAAGCATCCCAGAACAAGTACTTTCCTCTATCTTCACAAGGTTCTTGCAGTGGAAGACATGTAATTTGTCCATTGTTTCTCCCCACTCCACAGCATCCCTTGTCTGTCACTTCAAATCCTGCACATTATTTATTAATTACATCAAATTAAAACTCACAGGGCTATTTTTATATTTGATTATTTAATTGGATTAGATTTGAGCATTATCAGGCCCAATTAGAGGTAGCTCTTCCAAAGGCATTTTCCACATTCATGGACTTAAACTCAAAATCTTATGCTCATTCCATTATGAATAACATCTGTTGATTATTTGCAATACTACTTTGCAACCCTATCTCCTGTGCACATTCCATTTTATTTTATTTTATTTTATTTTATAGTTAAATTTTTATGTTTTTCCTAAGTGAATATTTTTAATCCCAATTCACCTAGAAAAATATTCAAAATTAAAAATTAATTAAAACTACTCACATCAGGATTGTCGAATAATGAAATGTTAACTAAACCTGTTTCCTTCTATAATTGATTAAATGCAATTCACGCTTTCAATATTTACACAATGTAAATGCCTCTTAATTAGGAGATTTAAGGGGGGGAGTAAAGGAATACAGGTGTAGTGATGAAAGGGATAATGATGTCATTTTGGGTAATTTGTAAGAAAATTGTTGACACTTAGATATGCAACTATTGTTTTTGAGATTTAATTACAATCATGTCAATACTTTTTTTAAAAGAAACCCATATGTCATTCTTTTTTTTATGACAAAGTTTAGATGAGATATAGGTCCTGGGGGCTCACTAAGATTAAGTCATGTCTTTAGGCTTGATAAGCACTTACAGAGGTTTAACAAAATACTCACATTGACAATAGGATTTAATCACATACCCTTGTGGGTTTATGGTCAAATCCTTACCAACTAAACCAATTTTTGTGAGTTAAAACCCATGTCATTTTCTCAAGATGAAATGTGAATTTAGACAAATCACATTACATGCATTATGAATACATAAATGTTAAGAATGTAGCCTTTAGACCAAATGACATGTTGGGGATATTAATTTTTGTGAGAATTAAATATATATTAGGATTGTCTTTCTATCAAAATAACTAAAGCTAATTTGATAGGGTTTACCTTAATCTTATTTATCAAGTCATTCTTTAATTAATCAATGTAGGACTTCTTATAATATATTCTCATACAGGAGAGAAGAGAGCGTCACCATATGATTATTATTGGGGGGAAAAAGAGTTATTACCATATGATGATCCATTGAGAGACAAATCTTGACTGGTTTGGTAGAAATCCAAGAAGACAAACTTGGATCCAGGAAGCTGGCCATTATTGAAAGTTTGAACCAAGCTGCGAAGGCCGGAGTTGAAGAAGGAGATGACGTTGTTGATCTTTTCGTTGCATCTGGTCTCGGTGTTGTTGCTTTGGAAACGAGCTAGCTGATATGGAATGCACCCTATCTGCCCTACTCCTGTCACTATCACCTTTCGAGCTCCCAGCAAATACAATTGCTGATGATCCATCCACGCCACAAAATAAATCAGTAATTGCCTCATCACAAATAAGCCAACATGCATTTGAATAACTATGTATATATAGGATTTGGATCCATCAATCCAATGCATTTTTTATGTTTCAATTCATTTCTAATTTTTATCTTTCACTTCGACCTTCCACTTATGATTATGTTGTCAAGTATGTATAAAATTGCATAGTTTTGAAGCCTTGTGATTTTGGATTAAGATATACTCCTTCCCACCACAATATAGGATATTGGTAATTAATTTACAATTTTTTTACGAACAAAGTTAGTTGAAATCTTAATTTCTTAGGCCCCTGTTAAATACTATATATAAGTATCTTGATATTGACAATTGAAATTCTAATACATGATTTTTTTAAAAAAAAAAGGGAAATAAATGAAATACAGGTATAGTTGAAAAAACAATTATAAAAACCATCCAAGACTCTATATTTTGGACCAAACAAGGCTTTTAGAATGTGTGTTGTATTCTGGTGCAGAGGGAGTAGCATTAAACTCATTGATATATGTATCTCTCAAAATTAAATAGAAAAATATGTCCTAAAGGAGAATGTTCGAGCTATTTAAAACCACGCAAAGGAAACGAAAACTAAGTCACATCTCTTGATAAGAGATCTCTGCATCCAAGTGGTGGTGGTCGATCATTCAAGATACTAACATCGAACTGTAAGGAAGCTAGTTGACACAAATATTAGTTTTTCTGAAGGCACGATGTTAAAATCACACATTTCAATTAATGAAAATCATGGGACGAGAGAAAGAAGACAACACATCAAAATGAACAATATAATTAGACTAAAAATGAGGCATAATTTTCTAGTAAACAAAAATAACACACTAGGCTAGGAGAAGCTCCCAAATGTTTAAGACTCTTGACGGATCTCAACATATTATCAAGTGAATACATCATCTGACCCAATCTCCAAAATCACACATTTTCCTTAATGCACTAGATCAAGTGGCAAGAATAAAGCGTACAACGAATCAAAATTGAATGATTAATTAGGCTGAAAAATGAGTGATTATTTTTCTAAAAATGATTACTTACAGTTAGCTGGCGAGAGTAGTCTTGAAGGAGAAGAGTGGCAAAAGCCCTGGCAGTATAATCAGAACTAGTTCTATAGAAGTCAGGCATGAAGTAGTTGTTAAGGTAATCGTTGCTTCCCATTCCAGAAAAGAATATACATTTGCTTAGGTAGCTATTCAGTGAAGCGTTATCTCCTCTGAAAAACCTAATCAGCTCTTCCACTGTGCTGGCAAAATTTGCCACTTGCTCATTCATTGATGTATGAGCACCCTGCAAATTCATGATATTATCATTCATAATAACTTAGCACATACGCAACTATTTATGGCTTATGGACATATATATATATATATATATATATTTATATATGTATGTGTATTGTACCAGGTTAGAGCCAGTTTCATCTCTGATGCCAGCTGCTCCAGAAGCATAATTAGCCCCTCTTAATAGTGCAGGTCCCCTTGTTCTTGAATATGGTGGAATGTAATTTGGAAAACCCATTAGCTGAGCTGCATTTATAAAAGTAACAGCAGTAATTTGCTTTATATTTATACATACATATATATAATGAATATTAATTATTATAACAAATGAGACAGTAGCATGTACCGCTCTAATACTTTTTATAAGGTGTTTTACAAAAATAAAAAAGTGATCCTAATTTTATTGGGCAATAAAGAGAGTATTTATTTTAATTTGGTACTATGTATAAAATATTTTTATGATTGTTATGCCTATTTTTACTCTTTTACCCATATTAAAGGCGGGAGTGCTATTAAATGTTGGAGTATTTTTTATTTATAAAATATATATATTTAATGGAAGTAAAGTTAGAAGAAACTTAATGAATTGTTAGACACAGTTAATAATATTTTAAAATTTTTCATGTTTCTAGTAAAACAGGCTAAAAATAACTTAAAAATAAAACTGCAAGAAGTATCAAACATAAAGATGAAATAATATTCAATTTTACCTTTTAACTTGAGAAAACATTTGTACGAATAACAAGGTGACTCGTTTTTTAATTAATAATAGTATAATTGAAAAATATGAATATATTTTTAATAAATAAAGCAACATAATAAATTTTTCTTAAAAAGGACATGAAAGATGCCTCAAATACCTTGGAAATAAGTCCAAAGAAAGCAAGTGTGCGAATTAGATAAGAAGTTGAGATTACCTAAGGCATCAACAAAAGTTCGACCATTGGTGAAGCGACCAGTGGGACCGAGAGGGAAGTCAACGCCATAAGGACGATAATTAGCCCTCGCAAGAGTGATAATGCCATTGTTATTGCCATTGTCCACCAAAGAATCTCCAAATATGAAGAAACATGGCACTTGTTGCTGTGGTGGATTAGTGATGATCTGTGACACCCCTATTCCACTCAACCAAACCCACGTACTCAAAACCAAACCCAATCCCAAAACCAGCTTTCTCATCATCATCGATCTCTTAATTCTATTGATGATTGGTTTGTGTTGTTGATGACGATAATGATCAATGAGTAAATGATCTGGGCATGTTATTTCGTTCAACAACGATCTGACTCTTCTTATATAAGGTTCAGCGTTCTGGTTTTGATCAGGATTGACATGTCATCATTAATGGAGTTCATGAGATGTCTGGTGTGGAAATGAAAAAGAAAAAGAAAAGGACAAAGGAGAAGAAGAAGGAAGAAGAAGAAGCTTTTATTAGTTGACTTCGCGATGGTTGGGTGTGTCCTGTACATATCCCGTGATTTGATTGCCTGGAAATTACTCAGCACCCGAAACATGCAAAAGCTTTTTTTCTTATTATTATTGGTGGTGGTGAGGACTTCATATTGACATCAAGGGGAAAAAATTTGATGCCTGATACATACATATACATATATATAGATATATATATAATTTTCTCCAGCTTTAAATTTAAAGAATTATTATGTTATATTTTTTTAAGAAAATTAATCAATGGGTCCTAATTCTTGTTTTTCTCGATTTTGAATCATGTGGCAAGCTTTAAATTTTTAGAATTATTATGTACAATAAGTAATTTTACAAATCTGTTAAAATAGCTAAAGTAGTTAGTGTTCTGGTATACCAGAGCTAAATTAGCTGATGTTAAGAAAATGGCAAGTTGCAAAATTTTGTGAGTTTTGTTTAAATGTAAAGGTTTTTTGAATTATTTTTTTCAATTAATACGATTTCCCTTCAATTTACCAAAAGTGCACAAAAATATACTAAATTTATCTTTTATCAATCTAATTGCTTATGTTTCATAAAAATAATTAATTAGTAATTTTTAATATTATTTGAAAAAGAGATAACACCATTAAAATATATTAACATGCATGGATTTTTATTATAAAATTATGATGTAATAGTCATGTAAATTAATGAGAAAAGAAGCATTCAAACCTAGAAGGAAATCATATGGTGACTTTGAAAAAGAAAAAAAAGAAAAAATATGAAAGTAAGAAAATAAGGCGAAAAGAAGAATATAAAAAAGATTGTTCTCATTTATTTATATATATTCCCTCCATTTAAAAATGTAAGGCATTTTTAACTGAATTTTACCCCTCAATAAAGTAGTTACCTACTTTTCAACTAACCCTATATTTTTATATTTACCCCTATTAACACACTACAATAAATATAAAGTCATTATCAATAGAAGCACTTTTGAAAAAAAAAAGGGCAATAATTAGACCTCGAAAGACTAAAAATGTTTTATGTTTTTAACATCCAACTTCTTAAAAAATGCCTTACATTTTTAAACGGATGGAGTACATCTTATATATATCATCATCATAATTATATATCAAAACATTTTAAGGGTTAACTGTGTGTGTAAAGCCTTGAGAATTAATGCAATAACTTAAAACAATGTAATGATTAGATTAATAAAATTGTTCACAAATTGTTCATCACAACAATATTTCCGGGAGTCGCGAAGTCTCAATATAAACAAAAGTTTTTAAACTTTCTTACTTCAATTTGCCTGAATGTAAAGATGCAACAAATAACAAGAAAAAAGTAACTTAATTAATGGTGTAAGCTACAAAGTTATAGAATACAAGAAACTGAAAAGACTAAATGGATCCTAAATATAAAGTGATATGAAAGATAACTGAGTAATGAAGTATATGAGTTGTTTTGTTGTTCATTGCTTTTTTGCTACTACCTTTTTGTCCTTTCTGGAGCTCTATTTATAATGCTCACCTGAGATCATTGTATCCACAAAACAAGGAGCCTAGATACTTCATGTCAAACTATTCATTACTACTAGTTGGGTCCTCTTAATTTAGTCGCTCTGAGTCTTAACGGTCACATTCCTTCAATGACTTAGCATTTACTTAATTCAAAAGATCTATTTTAAATGATCTGGGCTCTGCTTCATTAGATGTCTTATTTGACCTAACTCTTCGCTTCCCGTTATTTTAGACTTTTATTTAAATGTAGACATTTTTAGGCCCAAAAAAAATTAAATTTGAAAAATAAAATTAATAATTTAATCAAACTGAGGATTAAAATTTGCAGTCCTCCAATGTCTAACCTTGCTTGTTTGCTAGCTTTACCCGTGTTTTATCAGTGTCTTTATTCAGGTAATTTATTTTTATTGCAAGAAAACCGACATCGTTTCACCTAAAAGAAACTCATGTCGTTTTCATTCCTTGAGGACCAACCTGTCTTTGCTTTGCCCCTTGATTGCATCACGTGACTGCTTCAAGTTAACAAGCAATTCTTTTTGTTTCTGTTTTCACTTTTTCATCCGAAAATAAACCATTGATTAATGGCTTCTTTTACTTTTTGTTCAGCAACTCTCACGTTATAGTTTATGTGGTTTTTCCACCAAAAAAAAAAAAAAAAGACACACACACACACACACAAGAAGATGATCATTATCGCATTATTCATGCCTAAAAGGAAACGAAGAATATTATCAATGGAACAGGACATCTGATCTGAAAATAATAAGATTGAAGAAGAAATATATTCAGAAATGATCATAGAAATGATCATACTTGTTATTTTTTATTATCATGTTTGTTATTTTTTTTCATTTATGCTAGTTAAATTATTATTGTTTCTTGTCATTTTCTGTATTCATGATTGTCAAAATAATATACTCATTTGTCATTTTTTATTATTATGCCTGTAGAGTATTACATTTATAAAAATAAAAAAGAATATTAAATTTATTATTTCTCACTATTGTGCTTGTTAAGCTGTTATGATTACTTGTCATTCATATGCATACTTGTCAAAACAATAGATGAACTTGATATTTTTATTATCATGCTTGTTCGAACATTAGACTTAATATTTTACACTCGAGCTTATGAAACTGTTATTGTTACTTCTCATTTTTTTTTATGCATGTTTGTTGAAACAGTATGTTTTTTCTAGCTGAAATTCAAGAGGGTTATTTATTTTCACTTTTCTCCTTCAATTTCCTTTTCCAGATTTGACACAAGGGACTTCAAAGCAAATGCAAAATTCAAAATCCTTGAGTTCTTTTTTACAATTAATTTGCTCCACGTGTCTTCAATACGATTTTCTCTTATATAATATCATCATCATCATCATCATCATCATATAAATCACCCTGAAAGCATATTCAAAGATGGCATATCCTTCATCATTTTACACCCAAATTTTCTGTTTCTCCAAATCCAGGGTTCATGATAGAATAATATAATGATAATATCATAATTACAAAATTACTCCTAACCCTATTAAAACACATTTTTAAATCACTCTACGTCTCTACCTCTCCTCTAGTCTGCATCAAGCTATCATACTGTTCTAATAGCATCAAGGTATGATTTTCTTTATTACATACACTTTATGTGCAATCACATCATCAACCCAAATTTTTTAAAAAGAAATCAATTTTAGATGTACAACTCACACATGCCAATGCAATGTTGAAACATAAGCCTCACACTTTGCGCGAAGCTGACATTGCCAATGAGACAACTAGAATTAGAGGGAGGCTAGGAGGGAACAAATAAGAAATACTGAAATAGGAAACTTGATGAAGGAACATTTAACTTTTTTGAAATATTGAAAGCAATCATATTGGAATTATTGGACACTAAACGTGGAAATTTCTTCCAATAAGAATTCAAATCTTGAATGGGGAACAACAATTTCATGACTTCAAAAACAGTACATAGAACCCAAGTCAAACTGAGCTAGGTGCTCTAGATGCGTGACTTGTCATCAACCTAACCAAATGATCAAACCAAGTCCAGACTGGTTAGTTTTCTTTGGGCCATTTTTCAAGGTTGAACCTGATCCGAAATGGCCAACCCGATCAAGGTTCATTGGGTTACAAAGTCAAGTAAACAGCCCTATTTGCATTTAATTCTTTTATAAGGTCCAAGAGCAATGCTTTGAGAGTAAGGATTGCATCCATTAAGCTTTGAGAAAATATGATTTTTCAAGACTGCGTCATTTCAAGGAAAATGAACTAACAGATTTGTAATGCCACTCATCTTGCAATATTACATGAACTAACTTTCACAAAAAGAAAACTAATTTGACTGCTCACAAAGTCATAAAATAAGCAGAAATACGTCACAAAATGCAGAATCCATTTGCCACACTACTGGTTCTTTTTATCATTCTCTTTCGCCTTTCATCATCTTCCCCTATTCTCTGTCAATATTTCAACGAACACGGCGGGCTTTCTCTTCCTGTCCTATGCCAAGGGATTTCTGGGCATTTGCAATACCTTCCGGATCTGCAGTGCAGCATAACACAAACCATATTAACAATACTACATGGCAAAAAGATCTTCCTACATCCTAAATACTCTCCCTGATTCTATTTATAAGTTATTCTCAACATTTTTATCAGGATAAAAAAAAAACTTTAAAACTTATTATCTCTATCTAAAAATTAAACAAATTTTCAACTTTATCCTTATTAATATATATACGTTAAAAATCAAATACTCAAACATTTAATAATCTATCTAATATTTAATAAAGGCAAAGGGTAAAGATGAATACAACCATCATTGAGGTCCTATAAATAGGATCAACATAAACACTCTTTCTCTCTCCCTTATAAATAGGATTAGAAGAGCAGAGCCTATTAATGTCTGCTTTAAACAGATGTAATAAGCTGGTTTTGGCGAATAAAGAGCAAGAACAGTGACTCTATAGAGTTAATTCAGTGGATACATCCCAGAGTTCCCAGTCAAATTTTGAATTTACAATTCAATAATCTTGTGATGCATCTAACTCTGAAAATCCTAGCCTTTCGAGAGGTCAACTGTAATGAATGGGCCTGGTCTTAGTGTGGGCCTGAGCCATGGAGAACTTTATGTTAATGGGCCAGATGCTTTGACAGAAGAGACAACACAATTCTTCACACCCGATTATAAACCCTTACTCTTCTGTCATAGGCATCTGGCCCATTAACATAAAGTGCTCCATAGCTCAGGCCCACATTACGATCAGGCCCATTCATTACATCAACATTTCCATAGAATTACTCAGCTGTATACACATTCATTAATCTGCTCAGGAAGAAGATGAAAGGAATCCAACTTACCAAAGAACTGTGTAAAAATGCGTGTGAAGAAGTTCAAGTTGCGAGAAACATTGTATGCCATGGCAGGCGGAAGAGGCTTCACCAGCGTGTCAATGCTAAAAACTCGTTGAAGAAACTGCAAGTCAAAAACATATATTCATTTAAAAATTGGATAGAAAGCGACCAGATACTCCACTAATTTCCCAGAAAACAAAAATATGTGCAATCATTTAGAGTCAATGAAGTAAAGCGAAGCAGCCATAAAAGATGCAGTTAGAAAAGAATGCAAATTGCAATCTCTGCGTAATATACATGTGACATTTCAAATTTCTCACGAGAAAGTTATAGCCAATTAACTTCTTTCAATTTAAGATGATCAGTTAAAGCTTTACGATAATCCGACAGCATACTTGGCGTATGATTCCAAAAGGTGAATCCCGAGAAAAAGTTGGGGCTCTACACCCACCACCAGTTTATCACGAGAACAATAAACCACATTCGGCATACTTTAGTATAATATAAACTTTTCACAGTCAACATACAAACCAGCTTTCTCAATTATATATACATTATAAGGAAAATTAACTAGCTGACAGCTGTGCATTCCATCAAGCACAGCTGACAGAGGAAACAAGAATTTTCAAATACAAACGACAGTTTCCCAGGGCCCCATATTAGCTATCATTTGACAGACTATAGAAGTACAATTATAAAGGCAATGCAACTTATGATTTTCAAAAACCCTGCACTTGCCTCTATTCAACTGTTCAATCTACAATGTAAACGAACCAACAGAGATGACAAACAACATTGGAATTTTAAAAACAAACACCAAGCAATTAAGGAACCTTACTCTGAACCAGGATGGTTCAAATAATCCATTTCTAGGTAATATATATAACTTTTGTGCTAAGTAACTAAAAAATCATCTTGGAGCTTGAAGGTGGGCAGGAGATAGAAAAGGCCTAACTTCAGAAAATAAAAATTCCTCAGGGAACCTTATCTCTCTAACAATACATATGTCAATAAAATAGTGGATTTTGCAAGATGGGTGAGAAAATAATAATGAATTAAAAACTTATCTGTTTCATCAGTGCAATAAAAGGTAAAATATAGCTCCATTTATAGAACAGTAAACTTCAAAGTTGGCAAAGACAGAAGTTCAAAGTGAAGCACTTGGGATGTTCAATCACCCATATCAGTCAAGTCAACTACATCAGATCTACATGTCAAGTACTTCACATTGTTAAAAAATCATGTCAACTATGTGGCTTGAATAAAGTGAGTTGCATTATGCATCCCAGATCTTCATAAAACCAGTTCAAGTCAGCAGGGAAAACAAGGATGTATTACTGTTGATAGCGCAAGCACATTTTTGGCTAGAATGGAAAACAGATCATGTAGTGTTGAACTGGTTGGCTTTATTGAGTTGTTCATTTAACTGCATTTGGAAAATACTAATCCATTCAACAGCAAAAACATTGTGGGAGAAGGAAAACCTTTTTATGCATAAGCCAGCATTGGAGGAGCAAATAAGTATTCGGAAGAAAAAAGCACGGTCAAATGACAGAGCCCAAACAAAGTAATAAATTGGCATGATATAGCATTTGAGACCTACTTATAAATGAGCACATGGGAGCCACTCCTTATTCCCCATTTTCTTTTATTGTCATATTTTCAAGCACAGTCAAATCAATGGATGAGACCGTGAAACTACAAAGTTTTCCTCTATCATAATTTAATTATTATCTTTCTAGTTTTGGCTTTACATCTATGTGCAACAGTTGCATAAAATTCAAAATTAAATTCCTTTCTTTTAACGACAGAAAGTTTGAGTGAGTTGGGTCTCAAAGGCTAGCAAAGATTAGGAGAAGTCTTATGGCTTAACTAGTGCTCATAGAAGTACTTATATTACCCACCAACAAAGTTTTCACATTGGCAATGAAATTCAAACCCACGACCTTGTAAGATATGAGTTATATTCTTACCAACCAAACCAACATTTGTTGGCAAAATTGAATTCTTAATTCCTAAGACAGAGTACATGGGAATTTATATGATTGAGCATGACATAACTATAACATGGCAAAACATAAGGAGGAAAGTAATTTTGAGAAAGTGATCATGTTAAAAGCCAGGATGTTTTAATTTCTCACAAAAAGCAGAGAAAAAACTATAAACATTATTACCAGGAAAAGAATAACAATGGAAAAACAAAAATGCAAATGAGTAATCTTCACCATGATATGGCCGGAATTTATTTATGCATCACCAGTTAACCAGTATCAGGAATATCTTCAACAAGGATGACCTCAAACAATCTTAGCACACTTTAAAGTGCTTTGTAATTTCTCTAATAACCAAATCACACGACTCAAAATATAAAACCTAGGTTTAGGAATTGGGTATTTTATGTCTTAATCTTTAGTTACTGAGAACAGTAGGAATTATGTGTTCTTGTCTTGTTACTGCTGCGTTATGCTACCCTGCTTGTAAATTTTTAAAGAATAAGTTTTGATTCATAATGGAAGAAATTTAAGAGTTATAATCAAGCTGACTAGGTCTAGGATCATAGTGTTTCAATGCCCATAGAATAACATAAAGCTCCATTTAGAGTTTTGCATGCTAGGCTTTTCTTTGATTAGTGGCTTTAGAGTTATAAGAACTATAAATTATATAGTAAGAAGACTGAATTCTTGATAAATTATTCCCAACCCTATGAAATCTTTTTTTTTTTTTTTGGCCGAATCCTTAGAAATCAAGCTACAATAACTATATTTGATTGGAAATAATGATCTCTATTAAATCAATTATTAAATTTAAAGTGCCACGTTTAATCTTCCAAGAGTAAAACTTCATGTTACAGTTTCTACGCTTGAAATGTCTAGGAAATTTTAGCCTCAGCTAATAAAGCCTTAATCCTTCTGCTGTGTAAATTACTATTTCAGTGGCAAGCAACTATAACCAGCTTCCTATCCATGCCCTTAAGCTTGTACACAATAACATAACAGTCATGAAGCTCTGTTACCAGAGCAGACATAAGATGGGGCTAGTCGGTATATACTATTTTTCTTTTCAAACATGAATGAGGCCAAAATCAACAAACAATAAAAACTAAAATCAAAAACAAAATTATCCACCCCTCTCAAAACCCAAAGCCACATCTATCAGCAAAATATATCAGCTGCACAGAATCAACCACCTTCCACCAAACATGCAAGCCTACCTCAAGATCAAAACTCAAATTTGCTAAGGAATCAGCACACTGGTTTCCTTCCCTAGCAATATGAGTAACTTGGACCTCCTCATCATTCTCCCACCATCTCCAAATCTTATCCAAAACTCAACAGTACTTATCAGAAGCATTTCTTCCCTTCTGCAACTTCTGAACAACTGATAAAGAGTCTAACTCCAATAAAATTCTTCTATACCCAGCATTCCAACACAACAAAGGACCAGTAAGAACACCCCATAACTTAGCTTGAAAAGCTGAACACCTCTCCACCCTTCTTGCAAAACCAAACAGCCAGTTTCCTTCGCAACCTCTCACAGAACCTCCACAACAAGCTAGCTGACTAGATCCCTCACTAGCACCTTCTGAATTCTGAATCAAGTTAAAGATGGACCCTGGGAAGTGAGCGGACATAAGAATTGCATGATTGGTAGATACCACCAACCAGCAAGCTTTCACAAGTTTTGTACTCCCTCTGATTTTATATATAAGTTACTTCTAACTAACTCACTGGAATTAAGGAGAGGTAGTAAATTATTGATTTTATCTAAAAAAGAAAGAAATTTCTCATTTTATATAAGTCACTTCTAACCACCCCATGGGAAAATTAATTGAATAACCTCATCCGATAAATACATGAAAACTATGCAACAAACATCTTTCAAATGGACAGAGCATGATAACTATGCGAACACTGGACAATTGATTTGAGATACTAGTTGAAAAATCTAGATTCATGAATATTTGTGTTCATATGAGGGGGGAAAAATCAATTCTCCGTAATTTAACTATGTACAAATAATCCAAAACGCGAATGCAGAGCATCCTGCAAAATGCTTCCAAAATACCACAAAACCAGCAAGCTTTCACAGGTTATACAGGCAGAAACACAAAAATGAATAAATTTTGTACAAAATCATACAGGAAGCAATGATTTAGTTTTCCGTATAACAAACCCCATTATAAGAAACCAACGGTAAAACAAATTGAATAATCTCGTTCTAATGGACAGCATGATAATATGCTAGCATGGAGGATCATTGGAAAGAATAAAGTAAAAGATGAAAGGGGTTTAAAACCCAGAATTTAAAAAAAAAAAAAACAGAATAATAATAATTATCCAAAGAAATTACCAACAGTAACCTGGAAATTGCGCTGGAAGCTGTAGCGTAGCTCCGGATCAATCTCGAGGGCTTCATCGTCATCGGGGTTGTTATCAAGCTTAGACTTCTTGCGAGGGACATGCATAGTTGGAGTGGTGCCGGGTTGATTGGTAACTTTGAGCTTTGCGTCAGGGAATTCTGGCTTGTTGCCTTCTTCGCCCCTCCATGGAGCCGAAGACAATAGTTGCTTCTTGCTCTTAGCCATTGGCTCCAAAACTCAGGATCCCCAATGCTTCAATTATCAATCTGCCTCTCAGACTCGAAGTCAGGTATATGGTGAGATAAGGTTCTTGCTGCGCTTGCTCAGTCAGAGTCTGGCAGCCCTTGGAGCGGGTCTGGAATATGGATAACATATGAGACTAGGAATTGCGGGTTTAATTTTTATATTTTACAAAAATAATAACTCATTATTTTATAATTTATAAATAATGAAAAACATTATAAATTGTATTTTTTAAAACAAATATTTTAAACATTACAACATTTTTAAATAATAGTAATTTTATGACAATATTATTTAAATAGTAACATGCTCCAATGATTGTTTTTAACGAAGTTTTGGAAGATTTATTACATGTTAAATTTACTTTTTCAATTTTCAAAAGATTTAAGTAACTTCAACTAAATTTTCTAATACAAAAATTACAATTCAAGTATTAAGATTTTAAAAAATATAACTTCGTGGTTACCATTTAAAAGTTTTTGTTCGGTTACTTTAAAAACAACAATGTTAAACTCATTAAGAAAGGTCTATTCTTTAGTTTCAATACTAAAGTTGCTAAAAACAGTCTAGTTTATTTTCATCCTTATCTTAAGAAAAAAGAAAAAAATATTATCACATTTATAGATGTGTAAAGCCAAATCTAAGAATCTTTTCCCCGTGCAAGATTACAAGTCTAATTTGTTGGAATCCTCCTAAACTTGAGTGAGTGAAGCTAGGTCAATACAAATGGTGAAAGCCGAGGTGTTGAGAAATTTGTAGGATGTGGTGGAGTTGTGAGGAATTGGAGAAGGGAGTGGATGATGAGTTTTTCAAGGAATCTGAGATGCTGTCATGCTTTCCAAGCTAAGTTCTGGGGTGTGTTGACTAGTTTGGAGTTCTACTAGCAAGAGCTGGTTTTCAAAAGGTTGTGATAGAACTGTAGATAGTTGATTTAATGGCAGTCAAGCAGCATCTAAAAAGGGCTATGGGAGTGTTGGGTGCAGGCTTGCAAGACGGATCGTTGGATGGAGACGAAGAGAGTACGTACCTTGGGAGGGAAACCAGTGTGTCGATGCTTTGGGAACTCTTGTGGAAAGAGACAGCACTACATCCAATTGATTTGTTTGGCTGACATGTGTAGTTTTCCTTTTGAGATGGGTTGATGATGTTGGAGGATTTGGGTTTTTTTTTTTTTTTTTGAGTTTTGTTTTTGTATCTTTAGACTATAGGCTCTTTTTCAAAATTATTAAACTTACAAGTTTAAATAAACTCATAATAAAAATGTAAACTCAAACTGTAAATATTTAAAAGTTTATCTTTATTAATAAATAGTTTTTAAAAGTACATGATTATATAATTAAAACATAAAATATGATTATAATTTAATTTAAATATATTCTACATATAAATTATTAAAATTAAATCCATCTACATTCATATATTATTATACTGAACATACAAATTTTAAAATAGGGCAACTTATTTTTGATATTTTTTGTTTTTTTATTAATATTATTTTTTGTTTTTTTTTGTTTTATTTTTTCATTGCACTGGGTCATGCCACTTTTATGAACCAGGTAAACTCAAAGAATTAACTTGTGAATTTAATTGAGTTTTATCCAATTTAAATTTATGAATGAGTTAATATGATTTTATAAGTTAGAAATATAAAATCAATAAATTCGGATAGTTAACTTAAAAGTTTAACAACGATGCCCCTTTTCTTACCCAAGAAAAATATTGATGCTAAATATTTAAAAAAATAATTTATCAATAGATTAATGATAAATGTAATATAATTGCTTTTTCTTTTTTTTTGGCCAAAATATAATTTCTTTTTCAAGTTCTAGTCAAAAGTTGGCTTTGACACTATTTGTTATAAATTGAAAAATATGATAAGATTACAAAGCATGCTTTTTCTATAATATAAAACTTATCATTTTAAATAATAATTGTACACTCAACCATTTAATTGTGGGCGATTATTATTGTCATCCTCTAGTAAAATTTCATGGACATATTTTTCACAAAAAAAACTTTTCTATAATAAGCAATTGTACATAAAACATTGATACTAAATATTTTTAAAAAATAATTTATCAATAGATGAATGATATATGTAGTATCATTACTTAACCTTCATCAATTTTTTAGTTATCATTTCATTTATTTTAATCGTTGATTAATTATTTGATAAAGATTATAATATTTAATTTTTTTAAGTTAATAATATAGAGGTGTATCAAAATTTAACTTCGAAACCACTTGTTACAAATATGAAATGATTATCCAAAAATAAAAAGATAATAAATGATTAGGCTCTGATACCATTAATTTTTAACAATATGCAAGATTATATTTGTAAGTGATCATATCTAGAATGATGAATTTTTCTTTAAATAATTATATAATTATTTCATTTAATTAATAACAAATATTTCACAATCATATCTATAAATTGAATAAAATATGATAAGATTATGATGAATACTTCTTTTACAATATAAAACTTATGATTTTGATCAACTAACATATAACTTTTGGTAAAAAAGGCGAAAGGTAACTAGATAAACTTTTTTACCTATTGGCCTGTAAAATTATTTACAAGTTAAATGTGAAAATTACTTACATAAACTTAGAGTTTTATTTATATTATGATTTTCTAAACTGATAGAGTAGCCTATTCATGTTAATTGATGTATGTGCATAACTGTTGTAATGTTCTTGCTTGCTATAACATGTGTAATAAGGATGCATGTATAGTGTTGTAAATGTATGACATGAAAAAGTGATACCTTAATTTAAGATAGAGGCATGTGGCCCTGTTTTTTATAAGGCTAGAAAGTCTTGGCCTAGTTGATGATGATCAACTAGGAGGACTCAAAAGTGTATGAGCATTCACATAGCTAGAGGTGGAAGTTCACCTTATGAAGATGTATAGACCATGGTCTTAGCATGTGTGTGATGCTTGTTGCCTTATGAGTACTATAGCCAACAAGCATGGTTGGGCTACTCCCTGCCACTTTATGAGTAGTTGGTAGGGGGAGTACTCAATGTCTTGCCCAATTTGTTAGGGAGAATCTATAGTTTAGAGGTGGTAAAGAGGTATTAGCCTTGTTTCTTCCACTAATGGTGAGCTTGGACTGACTAGAGAGGTCCTGTATAAAGCCTATGGGTTCAATCAGGAGATTTGAAAGTTTGTGGAAATTATTAGTGTAACATATTCATGCATTAATATTTATCACTTGCATCAATGATGTGATTGTATTCATGCTTATATATGAACTTTATGCGTTTAAAATATGTGTTAATGCTACTCTATCCCTTGTTTATAATTTTTCCTGCTAAAGGGTATTTGAGATTATCTAGTTATTGAGACTTTTGTCTCATACCATTACTTCATGTCTATAAGTTTTGAGGATTCAAAAGGGCTAAGAAAGGAAGTACAAGAAGAGTAGCCATGCCTATTATGGTTGTAATGCTACTCTTGGGATATAAATATATATTTATTAATAGTGTTAAAAGTTGCCAAAGATTATACATATATGGATATATGTTGTTTTAGAGACTTTCTTGTAATATCTTTTATTGCATATTTTCCCTTTTTGTGGTGTATGTTTTAGATTGGATGGTCTTAGATGTCATTACAAGCAAGTGTGTAATTTTATTATTTTGATGGAAAGTGCTTCTTGATATATATTGAGATGTTGTTCCTAGCTTGTGGTGCCTAAGTTGAGCTAAAAGTATTTTGTTAATAGGCAAGATTTGACCATTGTAAAAGGTGTGACTTATTCTACTAGGGAGATGTATGTGCTTATGTGGTTATTTGTGTGTGTTAGCTCATATAAGTCCACCTACGTGAAAAGTGACATTGTGTAACCAAATTGGGCATGTAATGTTTTACATGTACTATTGTATGTTAATCAAGTGTTTTTAGTCCTTTTAGACTTGGTTCAAGGTCTAAGGTGATCTAATGATGTAAGATATTGAATTGGAACACTTAGCGTGCTAAGTTTTAAAAGAAAAAGTGCTTTTTTGCACATTGAGTGTCCAAATTGAGTTCGGACTGTTGGATCGTATCAGAACTTGCTTCATTAGTTAGCTTGTTTCTTAATTTTTATATGGGCAGTTGAATCACTCTGATCAAATATCATATGTGAACATGATGCACACAAGAAGTTAGTGTCAGATTAGATGTCATGACAGCAAAATCTAGAATGTGCACCTCGAAGCATAGGGTGCATGCAGTGGCGTATGTCACAAAGCATGACTTGGTATCTCTATTCCACATGCTGCAGCGTATGCGGTACAAGCCATGGTGTATAGCTCTTTTTGGAAGAAATAACCGTTTCACTTTTTCTTTCAAAGTTGTGAGGTTTATGTATGCATATTCACTTTTATTAAACCTTAAACTTATATCTATGGGTTGAATTTAAATTCGGGATCTCACATTTTCAAAACTTCTTTTAAAAGTATTGTGATTATTTATTCCAATGTTGTGGTGCAAATAAGTAAAGTTTGTGGTTAATTTGTGGGACTTTACATGAGACCTATTAGCATTTAGTTGAGGATGATGTCTTCAAAATGGTAAATTCTTTATGAAATTCTAAACATCTACTCACTTCTCTAAACAAATCTTTCATCACATTAATTCTTAAAGGATAGAATCCTATTTTTGTTAAGGATTTAAGACCCATAAGTTTATGTAATGTGGCTTAAAAGATTGTATCAAATGTCCTCTGCAATAGGTTGAAAGAAATTCTTCCAAAACTCATCTCTCCATTTCAAAGTGCTTATCTGAAAGGGTGACTCATTTTTTATAATGTTTTGGTACCTACTAACTTGGTTCACCAGATCCATATTGCAACAGGGAAATAATGGAAATTATGTGCTCTTTATCTAGATTTCTCCAAGGCTTTCAATCAATTATCATGGCAATATTTAAAAGCCATTTTACATAAAATGAATTTTCTGACTATGTGGGTTAATCTTCTTATGTAATGTGTTTCTACATTGGAATATTACATCAATTTCAATAGTTGCTTAACTCAACCTATTTTTTCAAAGAATGGCATTAGACAAGAAGATCCTCTATCTCCTTACCTTTTCATATTGGCTACTAATGTTCTATCTTGTTTATTGGTACATTATGAGCAGCAGGAATCTTTTCAAGGAATCAAACTATGTCCATCATCCTTTCTAGTTTCTCATGTTCTTTATGCTGATGATTTATGCATTTTCTTTCAATACACCAAGAGTGGTCTAGCAACTATTAAAGACATCATTTATGGATTTTGTCGCTGATCAGGGAAGAAAGAACATTTGCAAAAATCTACCTTACTTTTTAGCCCAAATATTCTAACAAACTTGTAATAAGAAATTTTAGATTTTTGGGGCATCTAATTGAGCACATCTTTTAGGAAATACCTAGGTCCCTAGATTGATGCTAGTAGAGATAAGTAAATTATTTACAATCGGGTTCTAGATTCTATTGACAAAAGGGCAGCCTCATGGCAGACCAAATTATTGTCTCAAGCTTCGAGGTTGACCCTCATTAAATCTATTTTTTCTGCTTCTAATATTTACATTTTGTCTTGTCTTAACCTTCCAAAGAAAATTAGCGATCTTATTGATGCCAAATTGGTCAATTTTTTTGGCGAATTGATGAAGGCGAAAGGAATATTCATTTACTGAGGAAAGAAATGTTGTTTGGACTAGTCAAGTTTGGGAGTCTAGGCTTAAGGAATACTAGGAAGATGAATGTGGCTCTAATTGCTAAACAAATTTGGAGAATTTTGCAAGCAGAACCTCACTCATTGTTGGGAAATACCTTGAAGTTGAAGTATGTGGACTCTCGAAATGGTTTCTCTTTGAAAAAGCCTTACAATTCCTTTTGGTATTGGAAAGGTATCTTTGATTCATCAAATCTCATCATTCATCATCTCAAATGGCAATAAGTTGAAAATGGAGCTTCCATTCTGATCACTCATGCGCTTCGGTGGTCTCCTAACTCTTCTATTGCCTAGGCTCTCAATATCTTCACAGTAGCTAATCTGATGATGCAAAAGTCTAACTCATGGTCACAACTTAGTTGGAATATTCCTTTATTAAGAAATTTGTATGACTCAAATTTAGTTTGTCATATTATTAAAATTCCATTATCTTTGTGTGGCTCTACAGATCGATTAATCTGGGATTCTGGCACTTTCATTGTCCAATAAGGTTTTAGATATCTTAACAGGCTTGCAGGGGATTCACATCTAGCAAGAGAAATTATTTGTCAGTTTCTTTGGAAACTACATCTTCCTTATAAAACTCTCCTTTTATTTAGAAATTAGTGCATAAGGCAATCCCCACAGGTGATATTCTTCTTGGTCGTCATGTTCCTGCCTCAATTACGTGTCCTTGTTTTATACTTTTTGTGAATGTCCTTTTGTTAAAGCTATTTGATTTGGCTCTCTGGAAATCTATTTAGGAAAAATTCCTAATCAAGGTTTGGCTTTTTGGCTTTTAAGAGTTTCAAATAAATTTTATAGGGCCAAGGATTTTTCTTTGATTGAGGAAATTTTCATGCTTCTACGTTTTAGTTTAGTGTCAGTAGAACAAATTAAGCAATATTATACTCCTTTATTCTCTTCTTTTTCTTCTTTATCTGTACAAACTTATAAACTGTAACTTTTATTACATTAATTTATCGTAGGACCATATTTCTGTTTTTTTAAAAAAAAAAAACCTGAGACAGTGAGACTTATTCGCTATGCAAACTGTATGGTCATGTACGAGAAAACATACATATAAAAAGATAAGTGGGTCCCACCTAAACAAGTGAGCCACATGCTCATTGGCTTCCTCTTCCATGCGCTCTTCCGCCTGAATTACACGGAACCTAAAAATTCAAGACCAAGGCATGATCCATGGTCTCTCTCTCCCTCTCTGGACTTAATTGGAATTCCTTATTGCTTCTGGGGGCAAAATGGTCTACCCAGGCGAGCTCTGTGGCTTGGAATAGTGAAGTGCCTGATCCTCCCTTCTTGTTCCCTCAAATATCCTTCACACAAAAACCCTCTGGAAAACTTATCTTCCACAACCCTATCCACATCATGTACAAACACATCAGTCTCACCTTCTTCTCTGTTCCTCGCCATCATCCCCGCCGTGTAAATCGCGCTCATCCTTCCCGGAGCTCCGTCGAAGTACCCCGTCGGGGCGTCCACCATTATTATGTCCCAATCCACGTCGTATATCTCGCTCGGAAACCCCTTCAGTGCCAATTTGCACTTGGAGAATCTCGGGTCCGTCACTGTCTTGCAATCTTCTTCCTCCATTCCGATCTTCATCAGCTTGTCGGCTTCTCGGACTTTGGTGTCGTACACCACGTGGTAGGACTCCAGTGAGGGCAATTTCTCTCGGATTTTGCCGATCCATGATTTGTCTTCCTCCAGGAACACTGTCCTGCCGCCGTGATTCAGTGAGGTCCACATCAGGCTGTCGTGGCCGAGGCCGAAGACGAGGAAGTTGCAGGGCGATTTCCTCTGAAGAACTCGAGCTGAGACTGAGATTTCGGCTTGGGTTTGTTGGGGAGTGACGTTGGTGGTGGCGCAGTGGATTATGGCGTTCGCCAGAGACAGTGGGATTTTGGTGCATGTCGGCGTCAAGCACGGTGGAAGTTCCGATTTCGGTGCCTCTGAAGCTTCTGGACTGATAGTTGTGTTTGAAAGATGGGTTTGTGGCTGAGAAATTGGGAAGAAGAAGCTTGATCTGAGTATGAAGATGAAGATGAGGAAAAATGAAAGGCACAGAAAGGCAACTTTGAGGCTGCCTGTGAATTGAGTTTTGTTCCTTATCATTTTTTCTAGAGAGAGAGAGAGAGAGAGAGAGAGATCACTGTGACTTGAATATAGCAGAAGGTGGGGATATGAGTTATTTGAAGGAGAGAAAGAAAGAAAAGAATTGAGATTTGAGACTGTGAATTTGCTTCAGGACAAAATGAAGCTACATGGAGTTCACAATAGGGAGGAGAAAGAAAGAAATAGCAACGACTGTACAGCGCATCTGTGGCGGGTTGCGAAATTTAAAATAGGAAAAATTAACTCATGATCTAAAAAATGAATTTATATAATCCACATCAATTAATATGTATTAACATCAATCAGAAAAATTCTTGCATGCAAAAGAGTATACCCTATATTCCTATTCTATTTAATAAATTGCACCAATTTAATAAAAAAATAATGTGTCCTTATTTTTAATAACTTTATTTTTATAACAAACTGCTACTTCCTTAATTTTTTTTCTTTTTTTTGTCTCATCATTAATAATAGAATTAATTTTTATATTTTATCTGATATGATATGTTTTTATTGAATAATATATAAATAAAGTAGTAGTCTATTTAGTCCAAGTATTTCTCAATCAATCAACATAATATAAAATATAAAATGATGTTATTATATATATATAATATGAGACATTGTTTTAAATTCATCATAATTGCTTGTTCAAAAAAAAATACGTTATGAGATTCACCTAATTTGTGAGAATATAAGAAAACCATGGTAAATCAAGTAAAATAGATCAAGATGGTGAAGTGGACTCCACATGTGGGCCTCACCCTATATTCTCTGTTTGTTTCCATTCATTTCCTTGAATCATTTGCGAGAATGAATCATCATGTTAATTTTAATTAGGTGGGGTACATGCACGAGTATCAAGGTTAATTAAATCACGCTATTATAGTAACTAATGCTATTGAAAAAAAAAAATTATTTCCTATGAATTTCATAATTTACAGCAAACTATTCACAAGAAATTTAAAACCGTCATTATATAGTTCATAATACATAAATAACACTAAAATTAATTATTATAGATGCTTAATTATACCTGATTGTCTAATGGCATGAAGTTCACATTTATTAGTAAAAAAATGGAGGATTTGATCCCACTTACAATATACTCCCTCGGTTAAAAAATGTAGAGTATTTTTTGAAGAGTTCGATGTTAAAAAATGTAATGCATTTTTAATCTTTTGAGATGTAATCATTGCCTTTTTTTTTAAAATGCTCCTATTGATAATTACTTTATATTTATTGTAGGATGTTTAATAGATGTAAATATAAAAAGATAAGGTTAGTTGGAAAGTAGATAATTGATTTATTGAAATGAGATTCGATTAAAAATGTCTTATATTTTCTGACGTAAATAATAATTTATCCTTTTGAAACACCTACTAGAACACATCATCGTGGCTGGCATATTCACCGACGAAGTTCGGTGTGTGTGTATTCTAAATTATTTTCCAATAATATATACATATATATTGTAATAATATATAATTATATCATATCGTGACATGCACTATATTGACATATTGAAAGGGGATTTGGTGGGTGCATGATATTAAAAAATAGTGATATTAGAAATGAAGGCTTAGAAAATAAGGAAGTAAGTTATGATAATGATTGTATTAATATTTGTGTGTTTTGTTTGTTTATTGAAACAGAAGAATCTGAGAGATGGGAAAGAATAAGGAGAGTTGGTAAGATGAGTTAGTCTTGACCAAAGGTGGCCAAGTCATGGTTGTTAAATTATTGGTCATGGTTGGTATAACAGCAGGTGGGGCTTGGGGAAGCATGCATGATTGACTTTTGTCGTTCATTTTCACTTTCTTCTATGGGTAAAATCGTCTTTACATTTTGACTCTTATGTATTCCCAACTAAATGTTGTGAATGTTTTCATGGGGGAGTTTGAGTATTATCCTTATACTAATATAAAAACTCTCACTCTATTAAAAAATATAAAATATTTTTTAAGAGTTATATATCAAAAAATATAAGGCATTTTTAGTCTTTTGAGGTGTAATCATTATATTTTTTCAAAAAGTATTCCTATTGATGAATGACTTTATATTTATTGTAGGGTTTCTAATAGAGATAAATATGTAAAAATGTAGTTAGTTTGAAAGTAAGTAACTACTTTAATGGAGGTAAAATTTGATTAAAAGTATCTAAAATTTTTAAATAGAGGAAGTACTAAATATACGTTAAGGTTTAAAACTGTGAGAACTGAGAAGAAAGGATTCAAAAGAATGAGGACCCATTTGCTTATTAGAAAGAAATGAATTGGATTAAAACAAGTAATGATAAATATAATTATCAATCCTTATAATTTTATTAGGTTTTACTTTTAGTATTTATTTTTTAGTAATTTTAGTTCGTATAATTTTCATAAGAATGAGTTATGTTTGTTACTTTTATCTCTATAGTTTCAATGTATGACTGAAAACATTGATAAAAACTATAGTGATTAAAAATAAAATTCAATAAAACTATATGAACCAATAATTTTTTTCCAAAAAAAATAAAGATATAAATACAATGATCATGATGTGATAAAAAGATAAGTCAACTACGTTTATAAGGAGAATGAATAATTTAATTTATAAAATTAGGGGATCATAATTTGATTTTAAAAGATTGGGTTCCAAGCACATATTTAAAGAAGAAAATTTTTAAGCTAACTAGCTCGCATGTAATGTCCAAGATATAAATGAAGAAATGAGAATTATGACATAACCATTTTGTGATTGCAAAAGTCTCTTGAATCTCGACTTGCTTAAGGGATATGTGGACTTGTCTTGTTTTCTCTTGCTAATTTTTCTTCTTTTAATGCCTAAGTTGCTGACATTGTAAACTTTTTTTTTATTATTAATATATTTTCTTTTTTTACTCAAAAAAAAAGGACATGTGGACTAGCTCATCCACCTGTCTGCATTTTGGTGAGGCTTCACCTCCGGTTATTAAAAAAAAAAAAAAAACCTTGTAAATATGCATCGGGTGATCGGATCTAGATTTTTACTCATTTAATCAAATATAAATTACTAATAACTATCTCATTATAATTAAAAAAATAGTTAGAATATCTAATTATACTAAAAAAATAGCGGATTAGCAACGAAATTTTTTTTTATCTCTAATCCGTCGCTAATTCTGTCACTAAAATTTTATCATTATTTCGTGGCTAATCCGTTAGAAATAATTTACCGACGGAAAATTGCATCGCTAATGATTAGAATATTTTATTCTAATTTAATGACAGAATTTCTGATGAAAAATTTCATCACAAAGCTTTCTGTCATAATTTAGTCGCTAATTCCGTCACAAATTATTTTTAATTTAATTTTATTACTTATAATATATATATTTAATAATTTATTATTATGCTATAAATAAATAATTTAAAAATTATAATTTAAAATAATTTATTATTTTAAATTATTTGTATACTATTAATAATAATTTAAATTGTATACTTAATTATTCTTATTTAAAAATAAAAATAAAAAAATAATTATAAATAAAAATTTAAAATATTATATATTATATAGATACAAATTATAATATAATATATAATGATAATAAAATATTTTTCAATTTAATATTAAATTTATTATATAAAATAAATTTTTAATAGAAATAATTGTCGCACTCGGAAAAATGCGACGCGGACAGCACGCGAGCGGAGGTCCCGACCTTTGCAGAGGGAACCAGATCAAACGAGGAGTCACCATCGAGATTTTGAGGTAAATCTCGAGAAACCGATTAATGGAGGATGAGGGTGGTCTGCAAAATTAGAGAATAGGTTTGGGAGTTGATTGAGTGTGGGGAAGGTGTTAGGCACCCCATAACACTCGTTCGTCAGAACGGTTACCTGAAGTTTGTTGTGCTCTATTAATATAGTTTTATAATTATTTTAATTATCCCTTTTATATTCATATGTTTGATATAAAAATGATAAGAATTAGGTGAGAAATGTTTATTTATTTACGAGGGAGGACGGACGTAACTCAGAATCTGACTCTGAGGCCTACGTACCCTGTGATGGGGATCAAAGTCCACGTAGTTCAGGCTTAAAAGTTTGTTGGTGAAAATATTTTTTTGAAGAGAAATTAATTAGAAATAATTCACCATTTTGTAAATAAAACAATTTTTAAAATTTTGATATGTGTGTTTTAAATTGCAAAAGGTAATTTAATTTTAATTATTTTCTTCATTTTTGAATTTTTGGAATAAAGAAAGAAAAGGGTTTAAAATTATTTTTTTTATGTTTTATGATTGGGAATTTTAACTGTTATACCTGCAGAGCCTTATTAGTTCATATGGTAATGCAATTGCTCTAAATATCTGTGGCGATTCTGAAATCTCACACGACAAAAGAGTTTAAGAATTTTATTTATTTATTTATATTCTTATGTACATTTTTAAGTGTTGATAATAATTTTTTTAGCATGTATATACATGTTTTGAAGAATTTTAATCATCATACCTGCATAGTCTTATTGGCTTATACGGTAATATAATTATCCTAAATATTTGTGGAGATTCTAAAATCTCACACGATAAAGGAATTATATTTAAATACATCTTTAATTTAATTAATTTAATATATAATTTATATATATATTTTAAAAACTTAATCGTTATATCTACAGAGTTTTATTGACTCATACGATAATACGATTATCTTTAGAAGTTTACGGAGATTCAAAAACCTCACATGACTAAGAGATATAATTGGTGAATATGGTTACAATTTAAATGCATTAACTTGGTTAATTAATCTTCTAAATTGGGTATTATATGATTGTTTACAAAAATTATTTATTTATTATAACAATTAAAAATCACTATATCTGTGAGGACTTATTGTCTCACACGATAATGTGATTAATTTAAGTCCTTATGAAAATTCTTGAAGTCTCACATGGGACTTAAATAAATTACTTATTTAAAAAAAAATAGTTGATTTTAACAGTGGGTCATTAAAACTATTGATTATACATATAAATTGGATCTCTATTCCTATGAAATTTTATTGATTTACACGAAATGAGACCACTTTAAATGTCTATAGAAATTCTTAAAATTTCACATGACAAGTAAATGATTAGAGATGAAATTTTTTCTTATTCATTTCATTTTTTTAAAATTGGGTAAGAATCGAATTCTCTTCCC